CCTATATCATCTGTTATGTCAGTGGGGCTCCTGGGGCTACAAATGATAGAAAGACAGCTCAAAGTAGCTCAAAGAGAAATGGGGCTTTATCTCTTACAACAGGGTGGTAGCTGCTTTTGGGAATCACTAGCTTCAGTGTCAAAAGTGCGATCATGCTTCCAGCTCTTTCCAGCTCTTGACTCTGCTCGGAGTGTTTCTGCTTGCAGGCTCTTTCCATCAAACAGCCAAAATGGCACTACCAGCCTCAGACTCTCACGCTCCTGGCAACCTTAGCAGAGAGTCTGTTTCCTGACAGATCTCTAAGAATCAAGTCCATAACGAGCATTGCGACTAGGGGATGAGGTGACCATCCTTTGAGCAGGGAAGCGGTGCTGGTGGCCAGACACAATGACGCAGTATCTCCCTCAAGCCACAAGCGTTATTTTCTCTGCACAGGAAAGAAAAATTCTATCACCAGAAGAAGGTAGGAAGATGTTAGGCAGACAGAGGCAGTGAAATAATTTATAACTCACTTAGAAAACCAACACCCCCAAATCACTTCCTTCCACACGTCATACTTTATAAAGTAACCTGCCTACAGCAGTGAAGGTATTCCTCGGTTGAAGTTTCTGAAAGGCATGAATCAATATGAACATAATAGTTTATATTAATCTTTGTCTTATAATCCGTTTGGGAATCAGTTTAATGGCTCTAGTGGATAGTGTAGTAAATGGATGCTCTTTTCTCCTCATTGTGACTTGCGGACGATACAACACACTATTACACCAATGGACAAATATTTATTAGATGCCTGTTGCGACGTATGTGCTTTTCTATTATATCATGCTTTCCTACTAGTAATAATTATTACTCCAGAGAGATGATGCCCAGATGTAAACTCTGCCTATTCGTCCTAACGGATAACGTGTACCTGCGGAACTCCTGAATTTTATGCGTGAAAATGACGACAGCTACCAAGAGTGGATAGAAGCAGAACCTGTTCCCAAGTGATGAACGTCCCTATTCTTACTCTGATTTCTTACTCTGATTAACTGTACGCCATGCAAAAATGAGATGTGTTCTGGAGATGTGAGTATGTCGGGCTCGGAAAATATTGACTTTGATAACAAGGCGTAACTTTCCTTCCCCTGTGCTGAATCACCAGAGCAACATTCTTCTCGAGGCTCAACGGGAAAACAAACACGAGAACCTTGTCCGTGTTTGTTTTTCCATCCATCTCCTCAAAGCTGTCAACAACTGTTTGTCATTCCAGGGCGGCTCACAGCTTCCCAGGTCCACGATAATGCCTCCATCAATCTCGGGCCAAGTTAAAAGGGATGCTAAAATAAATAAATAAATAAAAGCACAGGGAGAGGCCCCTTATCCGGCGGGATTCCATATGCCATGACTTGCGGCTTACAAATCAGTTAAGAGACCCGGTCAGCCATTACTTTTTGGTTGTTACCAATGTTCTACTTGCCATACCCAGAGTAAACAAGTTAATGAGCAAGACTCCTTGTTCCCATTGATTTTTCCCCACGAGGCATCTGAACCCATGAGTGCATACGTGCCCCGGCATTCGTCAGAAGTGGCTTTTCAGCTCAGGTGGTGAGGGAGGCACCGTTCTCCTCTAAACATGTTATTCAAGCCATCTACCGCTTCGTAGGTTGTACTTCAAGGCTTTGCTCTTACGGGAAAATAACAGAAAGGTATAAAAGGTCACCCAGCACTGATGAGACACCCAAAGTACCACATCCTGTAAGTAACAGAACTCAGAAAGTCTCATCAACTCTGACCAGCTTCCGAAAACCATACTATAGGGGCGCCTGGGTGGCTCAGTCGGTTGGCCGTCCCACTTCAGCTCAGGTCACCATCTCACGGTCCGTGAGTTCGAGCCCCACGTCGGGCTCTGGGCTGATGGCTTGGAGCCTGGAGCCCGCTTCCGATTCTGTGTCTCCCTCTCTCTCTGCCCCTCCCCCATTCATGCTCTGTCTCTCTCTGTCTCAAAAATAAATAAACGTTAAAAAACAAATTAAAAAAAAAAAAAAGAAAACCATACTATAGGTCACCCCTCTTCCCGTCCAGAGAGATCTGGGTTTGTAACGCTGCTCTCCGAAAAAAGGTGGAAGGAATATACGACAAAATATTTACAATCCACTTTGGAAAAAAAAAAAGGTATTAAAAACATTCTACCTAAGTGATATAAATACAGTATTTGGACAGACCCTCTTTAGATGAACTAATAAAGAATTACTGAATTGATCTAGGATAAAACCCACATTTATGAGGCCCTAGAGGATTAGAACTCTTTATCCCCCAGAAAGAATCACAGAAAGACAAAGCGCTGACCCTGAGTATTTCTCAAGTACACCCATGACTGCCCCGTGGGCCCAGTGCCTCTCCCTCAATTCCAGCCCCCATTTCTTGTCCCATAGGTTGTAACACCCTCCTATCCACCTCCTGGTGCCAGTATAGATCGCCGGTACCAATTTTTCACTTGGTGGCAGGAGAGATCTTTCCAGACACAAGGCGGCCTACGGGGCTGCCCCCGCACCCGGCTTTGCGTTCTGGCTTGGCCCTGGGGGCCACCTGTCCACCTGCTGCAGGAGCGCAGGCCACCAGCTCTTTGCCAGGACCCGGGCTGCCTCCGCCACTGTCCCGGGACTTGCTGCCTGGCCCCGCAGTTGGCTTTTCTCTGCGGGGGTGCGGCGGGGGTGGGAGAGGCGCGGTGGGGGTTGCACTGTGGTGGAAAGCGCGCCCTCCCCACTGCAAGTTTACTGCCCCCAGTCTCATGCGGCTCCTCTGCGCCCTGGACTGCCCTCACAACCTCTCCACCAACTTGGCCTGCGCCCCTCGGCAAGGAGGTTTCACGCCTGGCCGCTCTCTTCCCTTCCACCCCCTCCCTTCCATGCCTGACATCTAACAGGGCACTGTCGTTTCCTGCTGCCATCACTCGGACATGTGCGGCCTCCTCTCCCACCCAGGGCTGGTCCCTCCACCCAGGCTGGCGATCCCGGTTCCCTCCCGCCTTCCAGGAAAGCTACGGCGTCACCTATCCCGTTTCTCTATAGCACACTCAGCCTTGCGGCTGGATGACCCCCATCTGTACCTAAACGTGGTTCATTTTTCCCCAGCCCCAACCGTCCCCCAAGCCCCACATATACCTCGATGTCATTACCTGACTTCAGCACAAGGCTAGCATCTGGAAGAGAGAGACAACAGTCTCTTTTCCTAGTACGCATGAAGTTTGGGGCCCACATCTCAGCCAGAGTGGGGTCCAGGGTGAGGTTAAGAGCCTTCCAAAACCTCCAAATAAACTCAAAGGAATTTCAGCTCTGACAGCTGCCAACGACTATAATCCCATCTCTGCAAAATAACCCCCCATTTTTAAAATCGTTTATTCTGAAGGCCAGTTTTGAAGAACAACAAATAAAAGCACTAAAGCCCACTAAAGGCTATTAATGTGAACAGATATTCTGACGGCAGAATAAAAAAAGAAAATAGCTTTTAAACCAGGGCTTACGAGATTAGAAAATCTTTGCTCACCTAGTGCTACATAGTTCATCGTAATCTAACAGGGACGCGGGACTATCCTATCAATACATTCTTCTGGATCCCTCCACGGCTGTAAAACAAACTAGGCACACTTACTGACAACGTTAACAGTGATAAAATAATATGACAAGAGTCTGACCTCTGAAACAGCTCCCTAACATACCACAAAGAGTTTACATGCCACTCTTTAAAAAAAAAAAAAAAAAAAAAAAAAAAAAAATTAGGACGTGAACGTTTTTAAAAGGCAAGAAGTAAGTAAAATCATCTTTTCCGAGTACTCCGCAGCAGAAGAATGGTAGGATCTACTCAAAAGAGGAAAGGTTATACCACATGTTGAGCAATAAAGCTGGCAAATTTACAGCGGTTCAAATGTGGCTGTAACATACATCTGGTCACAACAGGGCCGGGGCTAGAGAAATCATTAAGCAATCTGAGAACTCCCAAACAAAGACACTGTAAAATTCTGAACTATAAAGCAAAGGAAACACACTTAATCCCTCGGGGGTTGCAGTATGTATTTCAACTGGGTTATCCTTTCCCCCGTAAGGACAGAGATACACCAGAAGGTGGAGTGACACAATATCTCCACTGTACACATGTGGGCACAAAGCCAGCTTGCCCCAGTGCTCCCGGCACCTGTTGGTTTAATCATCCATCGCATTGCTCTACACGGCAGAGAGAAACTGGAAGGGGGGGACGGGGAGCAAAAAGGAGGCGGCGGGGGGTGGGTGGGAAAAAAATACACGAGCCATTCATTTCGCCTATCGGAGAATATATACATATACCTTTGAAAAAATCGCTAACGCGTTCTTTCTGTAAATTTTCGGTAACATGTTGAGAGCTTAACACATTTCTTCGAAGATTACAGTTTGTTTTTGAACTTGGGGATACTCTGCGACTGAAGAGGGAAATGATTTGGTGTGCTGGGAGACACCAACTTTCTTAGCAAATATGATCTTAGCAAAGGGACCTGAAACCTCTCTTTAATGACCCTGTTCCTTCCATCGCGGGGATTCCGTGTTGGGGGAACACTCATAACGTATTCCAACTTTAGTAGAATTTCTCAGCTGCCCGTCTCCACCACCATCCTCAAATAGTCCCTTACTGATTCACTAAAATTATTTCAAAGTAACTTGTTAAAAATCTTCACGTTTAAAAGCACGTGTATTACAAAATGTGCTTCTGGATGAATTTCAGTAAAAAAAAAAACAAACTGGAAAAATGGAATGGCAAGCTAAAACAATGACAATTCCACTAAATAATGATAATAATAAATAATAATTATATAATAATAATAATAATAATAATAATACTTGCACCAAAGGATAAAAATAGCACATAAAAAAACAATGTGACATTTTCAGAGGGCTTAAGAAGGTGTTATCTGATAGTCATGAAGTGAAAAATACTTCTGACAGATTTTACAACAGTTTCTGTTCCTATATTCCTACTGCTTTCCCTTCAACCTGATTAATGGAAGGGCCTTGATTCTGCATCTGACGCGCTCAGAATATATATCTAAATACGGAGCCAGACCGTCCACATGACAGAGGAGGGCCTAGTGTCTGTCTCCTGAAAGCCAAGAAAGGGTAGAAAATTCCTCTACTAGGGCAAGACATCTGTCTTGCACAGTGCACAGGGTGTTGGGTAATTTCCCAGAACCCTCAAAAGCTGAAGTGTGTGGCTTCTTTCCTGAAAAGCCAAACAAAAACCTGGAAGGTACCATAAGCGCAGTCACCGTGTTCTGAGTGCACTTTGCCCATGTGCCACCTTCCAGAATGATCCGAAAAAAACCAGAGGTCAATCCACACACAAAACGTTCCCGGTCCTGCCCCACTTGAAACCAACCTGGGAAAAATCCTTACTTTTCTAAGACATGTGGCCAAAAATTCCCAGTTACTAGGAGTTGCTACAAAGGGTATAGGAGGGTTCAGAGGTGCATTTTGGTTTTTTGAGGGCAACTTTTTTTTTTTTTCAACGTTTATTTATTTTTGGGATAGAGAGAGACAGAGCATGAACGGGGGAGGGGCAGAGAGAGAGGGAGACACAGAATCGGAAACAGGCTCCAGGCTCTGAGCCATCAGCCCAGAGCCTGACGCGGGGCTCAAACTCACGGACCGCGAGATCGTGACCTGGCTGAAGTCGGACGCTTAACCGACTGCGCCACCCAGGTGCCCCTCGAGGGCAACTTTTGTTAGAAGTTTTAATTTAATTAATTAAAAATGGCATAAAGAGAGCTTAAATATTTCTAACTTTTCTGCCAAATATCAGGTGGACCCCCCAAAGTAGGCCACATTTCAAAATGCCTATGAATTATAGCAACTGATGTGTGACTATGAATTTATTAGTAAGATTATACAGCTTAGCTAAACGGCATTTGGTCATCAAATCCCAATATTTAAAGAATTACAACAGAGCTAATAATGGCAGACAGTGACAGATGGTGAGTGTAGTCATCGAGGTGGACAGAGCTTAATACACAGAATTGTTGAATCATTATGTCGTACACCTGAAACTAATATGATACTGTATGCAACTATACTGCAGTAAAAAAAGGTAAAAAATTTTATAAGTAAAGAATTACAATGGGTTACATATCTGTATATTTCCTGTCTGCATAATGGTTTTCTGTCTCTGAGGTGATAATTAGAATATTAGGAATATATACATATAATATGCAATACATACTATATATATGTTCTCAAGTATATAATTTTTTAAATTTAATGTTTATTATTTTGAGAGAGAGAGAGAGTGGGAGCGAGTGGGGGAGGGGCAGAGAGAGAGGGAGACACAGAATCCGAAGCAGGCTCCGGGCTCTGAGCTGTTAGCACAAAGCCCGAAGCAGGGCTTGAACCCACGAGCCATGAGATCACGACCTGAGCCGAAGTTGGACGCCCAACTGACTGAGCCACCCAGGCTCATGTATGATTTTCTATGTTTGCACAACTACCTGCATAAAGTAGCAATCTGACAAATTTTCTGAAAAATATGAGTTAAAGGAAGAGTGTTAAATGTCTTAATGAAATACTTTCAAACAAAAAGATTTTGGTTTTACTGACGTTTCTTTTGAGTTTTTCTTTTTTTTTAAGATCATTATTTATTTATTCTGAGAGAGACAGAGAGGGAGGGAGACAGAATCCCAAGCAGGCTCCACACTGTCAGCATCTCAGAGCCTGATGCGGGGCTCTATCTCATGAACCATGAGATCATAACCTGAGCTGAAATCAAGAATTGGACGCTTAATCAAATGAGCCACCCAGGCGCCCCGAGTTTCTTTTCAAATACACTAGCGGGAGGGCAGGTTTTCTAAGAGATGGTTAGTCTTGTTAAGGGGAGACCGTGAAAGCATCTGAATGGTCCCATACTAGAAATGGTCACAATAAAATAACAGATGATGTAAAGCTGAGTACTGAGCTAAATTTTAAACGCTATCCAAGGCTGGGTTTTACACATAAAACATTTTAAAACTTATTTGAGTGCATTTCTTTTTTTTTTTTTTAATTTTTTTTTTCAACGTTTATTCATTTTTGGGACAGAGAGAGACAGAGCATGAACGGGGGAGGGGCAGAGAGAGAGGGAGACACAGAATCGGAAACAGGCTCCAGGCTCTGAGCCAGCAGCCCAGAGCCCGACGCGGGGCTCGAACTCACGGACCGCGAGATCGTGACCTGGCTGAAGTCGGACGCTTAACCGACTGCGCCACCCAGGCACCCCCTGAGTGCATTTCTAATGAGAGATGTTATTTTAGAAATGTCAAATGGCCCCCAATTCTCAATTTAACGCAATTCTATATTAAAAACAAAACAAAACAAGAAAAACTTCCAGATCCTGTACTGCGTTCTCTTAAGGGAGGCAGAGTAATTCTAAATTATATGTTCCAAGATAAAACATTAAATAACAACAACCATATTCACTCCCATAAAATCTATAGGAAATAAAAAGATAAGCAGACCCTTTATAAGTAAATCTGTAATGATATAAAACAACGTTGGTAATAAGTGTCTTTATAAGACCACAGTCTGCAATGCCAAATTATCTAACCATTACTTACATCTGGTTGAGCCTATCCAGATGCCAGTGACTTTTATTCCATAATAAGAATAGACTAAAATACTCTACTTTCTTATAAAAGGTAGGCTTTATACTTATAACATGAATTAATAAGACAAGTCACATTGGGGAGTGGGGTTGGGACTTTGTCAACAAATCTTTGACAAATAGATAAATTAGCACTGTACCTCATAGTGAGGTTTGAAAATCCTAGAGAATATCCCTGTGTGAATTTTTGAAAGACTCTATGAGGAACGCAATGAAGTGCAATCTAGTTCAAATCAATAATTTTTTTCTAAATGGTAAGTTAAATATACTTGCGACGTGATTTCCTTCATCAGTGAGGACTTAAAAGTTAATTCTATTAAAAGTGTCTTTTTTTAAAATGAAATTCCCACCCCGAGTGAAGATTTTGAAACCCGGGCAGCCAAGAAACCAGATGTAACCTTGCAATTAAATGAAGAACAAATTTGCTGAAAGTTACTGACCCCACGTATTACATATTTAATAATCTAAATTTTGTATGGTATCACAACAAGTCAATGGGACTACCCTTAAGAATATAAAGAAAAAGAATTTAAAACACTTAAAATTAAACATAAAAACCCATGCAGGAATATGAAAACAAGAATATATTACTTCAATATCACTTGTACACAAAAAGGGAAAATGTTCTTCATAAAGGGCAATGAGGAACTCTAAATTTAATGATTAATGATTCACTCTAAATTTAATTATAGCTAAACTTATATTTATAATGAATGATTTAATTTATAGTTTACTCTTTGTTTCAGAGGGGTGGGTCTACAGTTTTTTTGCTCTTTTTCAAAGTTTTCTTTTATTATAATGAAAAAGGAGAAAAAGAATAAACACAAAGAATAAATCACCCAGATAGCTGTGGCTCTATTCTTTAAAAAAAGATTTGCACGTGGCCTGGGGCTATTTCAAAACGTTAAATGTGACATCACGTTTCCCAAACCACCTTCAATCAGTTAGGTTTTCCAAAACACATCAGATATGGAAAACGTTCATCACAAATGCTTTGGAAGGTGAGTTTGAGGGTGAAGGTCCTTACAAAGATCATACAGGTGAAAAAGACTTAAAGAAGAAGTTTTGTTTATAAAAGGTTTCTTCACTTTTTAAGAATGTTTGTCCAACATGATACTGCCCAGAGCTTTAAATAAAGCCCAGCTGCTGAGTCCATGTTCCTCAGAATTTTTGTTTTATGTTTATTATTACAGTGGCATACTCTCATTGGCTCAAGAATTTACAGACATTTAGACCGGCAACGTAGGCTGCAACCCAATAAATACTACACGCTGAAACCATTTCTGATGCTAATGAGGTACTGGAGGTGACAAAGGCATCCTGCTTGGTATCCTAAGACTTCAAAGGCCAAGTCTAATTTTTCCACCTTGAGCTGTGAGGCCAATGAGCAAAATATCTCAATCTGCGATCACTACGCAACTTTATTTTATTGCCAAGAAATCCCGTTGGCTTCTTTAGGCATAAAAGAATGTAACTAGGCTAGTTCATTTGAAACTGTCTTATGTAACTTCCGTAATAAAATGATAAAAACCTTTTATTCTGATCAGCTTCCCACTTGAGAAAAAACCACACACAACCACAGCTATGGAAGTAGCAGTGAAGGAAACGGATTTCGCATGGGGTAACCGGCCAATCTGTGATGAACAGATAACTAACAGATCCTGGCTAACATTGTGAGGGTTTGCTGAAACGCTCGCCTCTCGTGATTAGCTATTCACAACTTCAGCAAAGCAGGTGAAAATCTAGTTAGTTTCATAATCGAACGAATACAACACACGAGCAAAATACAGGGCACCAGTGGGACGGTGCCTTTTTTATACGGATAAGGCTACAGCAATGCACAGATTTATTGGTTTTCTACATCAGGAACCAGGTACTACTATTAGTTATTACTTTCTGAGGGTTTACTGCTCCCAAGCCTATGCTAAGCGTTTTGTGCATTAACCATTATCTCACGTAATCCTCACTGCTGATTTGTTAGGTAGGTATTACCACTATCTTCATTTGGAAGATGAGGAAAAGGAGACCCACGCGAGTCAAGTAATTAACTTAGGTCATAAGGTTTGAATGTGAACCCAGACGGTCTGATTCCAGAGTCCCTGTGGTTTAATCACTACCCTCCAAACCACAAGGCACTTTATGCAACGGCCAGGACGAGACGGTAAGGCGGCAGGAGACAAAGACCCCAGCTCCGGCAACATGTCTAGCTGAGGAGATAAGATACTTATTTGTGAAATAATAGGAGGCAGTATGATGAGATTCACAGAAATGGACAGTTACTGCCAGTAATAAGTTCAGGGGCAGGACGCACTGGGATTCTCAATGCCGGTACATCCAAAATCTGGCCCACCAGGCACTGGGGTAGAAGACG